CAGGTTTTCTTACCTTTCTTTACAAAGGTGCTGATGAATTCGTGTGTAATTAATTCATGAAGTGGTAAATTCTTCACAAAGTAATAGGGTCCAATATCCATGACTAGGTTTTTCAGTTCTTTTGATAGTATCCCACATTCAGGAATGAGAAACGAAACCTGTTGGAATGTGTAATAGGAACAAGGCCTTACTTTGATGAGGATTAACATCCAGGTTTTTATGAATGAAATAAGATCATGAAAATTGCTAACTATTTTCTCACATGTTTCACTGGAACATATAATTCTTTTTTTTTTTTTTGGCGGCTGACCAGTACAGAGAACCGAAACCTTGACCTGGTGTTACAAGGCTGTGCTGTAACCAAGTGAGCTAACCAGCCAGCCTATAATTTTTAAGTTAATTTACTTATCTCAGGTAGAGAGAAATCTGACAATTCAAGTTTTTAATTTCTGCATTAAAACATACCGTACAGCAAAGAGACTGAGCAGAAAAACTGTAATGGAAAGGTCTTGCTTGTATTTTATCTTCTGCAAATAAACAATATATTTTATGTCTTGTTCCTCTCACTACTTTGTTTTCAAGGAAATATAGTATACTTGAATACCCCTAGATTTGTTCACCCTGGCACTATCCTGGAATCAAAGAAACTGTTCATTAGGGCATATGCAACTTAGGGACATCCATTTATTAAGAGGCTGCGTGTAAGCAAGTGCTCCTGGATGTTTCCATTTCCTAGACAGAAAAATTCCAACAGATCAGACCAGGTGAGTTCAGGTACGCATCACTGACATGTCTGCGAACAGCTTTCCATCTGAAGCGAAGATGTTAAAACCGTATGGGTTTCAAATGTTGCCCAAGTGCTACACATCTTGAAAGTCGCTCTCCCAAAGCTCGAACACCATTCTGTTCCTGAGGAATTAGACCACCGCTTACGACCCTGAGAAACTACCCACTCAGGCACAGGTTGAAATTAGGCCAATCAATTTAAAGAGTAAAACGCTTACATCAATATCGTCTTAGGTGCGGCTGTTTGCAGTTTCTCGTATATCAAACCCGTTCCCATAACTCGTTTAGGAAAGCAAGGAGCTTCCTGGACCGGGGCGAGGCACAACGCTCTTGAAAGATCCACAGGTGCGCAGGTGGGAGAGGCATCGAGCTGCCAGGGGAGGCGGTGGTGGGAAGGGGACGCAAGGTCCGTCCCGATTTGGAGCAATGGTGAGCTGCACGTCGCAGTGTTCGAACCCTCATGACTCTCCATTCCCGGACCTGCCCTTCACATGTCTCTCCCAATTCACTCCACGTGGGGTGCGGCGGGGCAGGAACCAGGGAAACAGCCCCTGGCCTCAGTCCTGGCGCTCACCGCCCTGTCCTCCCTCGCGGGGTGGGCACCGCCCCGCGCCCAGCGCATGCTGGGAGTTGTAGTCCTACATCCCTGTAACCCACGAGTCCGAAGCATTCAGAGACTACAGCTCCCAGCATGCCCAGCGAGCAGCCCCGCCTCACCCCGCCCCCCCCCCCCA